CAGCCCTTGGATTAAACACCAGGAGCTCTTCCTCGTCCATTCTCATATGGCCCATACCGCAAGTAGTACCCCTACCAACCACCGAATCATATCCGCCATCATCTTTATCCACGTCATCGATTTCGGATCCAACCCGACCCGCTATGACCCGGCAGATCAGCATGGCTCGCTTCACGTTCATGAAACCGAATTCCTCCTCGATGTCCTCGGGGATTGCCACGTGAGCTCTCCAGCCGGTCGACAGCGTGGAAATTCCGTCCAACTTAGGCGAGAATCCGGACTTGATGATCCCGCAGATGCTGCAGTACTGCTGGTTACAGATGGTGGAATTCCCGTTGAGTCCCAAATCGCACATAAACGTGGAGCAGTAGAACCTCAGGAGCTCGTTACCGTCGGCAATGCACCTCTCGTCTCGTCTCTTAACGGCGCCGTTTCGAGCCGCTTTGGCCTTCACGAACTCTCTGTACTCCTCAAACCTCGCGAGTATCTTGGAGCTATTGTGGATCTTCAAAATCCGATGGATTTCCGGGTCCCTCGTCTTGTTGGTCCAACCCGTTTTGAATATTATCTGAACGATATTCTTACCCGAATCGCCATCGATGAGCTCGGATACCGCGTGCTTGATCGTTTGGTGCTGCTCGAGGAGATGGGATTTCTGGAAAACCTCGCCGCAGGCAGTGCAGGGGAAGATATCGTTGCGGAGGGGTAAGAACTGGGTGTCGGCCGAGATATCGGATTCCGGGCAAGACCCGGTTGGCTTTTTGAGTGGAGGAGTCGGAACTGTATTGAGGTCCGAGACGTGAGTTTTTTCGGGTGCGACCATGGAAACCAGGGATTGCTGAGAAGATCTCGCGGACGTTAACACCGGGGCGATCGCGTGCAACTGGCTGCTGTTTTTGCAGGATCTGGAGGAGGAGAACACGCGCTTGAGATACGACCAGGAAGACGAGAGAGCCCTGTGGGGTTTAAGCCGAGAGGAAGAAGAAGAAGAAGAAGGAGATAGATGAGAGACCTTGCGTTTCTTGGACGGCTGGTGAGGATCCTGATTTTTAGCACTGAAAATGAAGCACCCAAGATGGAGTAACAGCAGAAAGAGAGAGAGGAACTTGCTGAAGACCGACCCGAAATGTTTATTGTTCGCTGCCATTGGTTTACAGCTTCAAGTTTCAAGTCATGGAGCTGGAGTTTAGCCCATCAATAGCTTCTGTGGAGAGAGAGAAAGATGGAGAGATGGAGGGAATAATGAGAAAGGAAAGGAGAAGAATAAAGGGTTAAGAGTAGTTGTGACGCAACTTCATGGCATCTCCATGATATCTCTCTGTGTAATAAGCTTGATGAGCTTCATTTTCTCGTTTCGGGTTACGATAACTTGCGCAAGTATAATCAGTCCATGTATGTAGATTATATATTTTACGTGTATCGTCGAAAGAGTATCCGGAAGAAGAAGGCTGTAGAACCAGGCGTATCGACCTTTAACGGAAAGTAACTGAATTTCTATATTTATTTATTTCCTGCTTTCTTTTTTTTTGTACATTACAATTTCAATTTTCTAATTCAAAATTTTCTGATAAGTAGTTTAATTTTCGTTATCCTATCTTAAATAATCTTATCTTAAATCATGCATGTACAATCAGTTATTTTGAAACAGATATGGTAATTTTACATTTTTAAATTCTCTATTTCAGGCTAAATATGTTTTTGACTTGCACAACGGATAGATATCTTTTCATCGAGATGGATATCAATCAAGTAGTTAGTGCTCTTAATTGAAAGTCTTTGTTAAATCTAAATAATTATCGCATTATTTAGAAGTCGTTTATTTTCTTACTCAACTATTTCAAAAAAAAAATTATTATATATTTTATTGAGTTATGATATTAAATATTTTTATTTAAATATATATTTATATTTTTGAATTGCTTACTCAGTGCTCGTATCTCTCAACTTTAAAATTATTGGTACATATTTAGAACCTAATCTAAAATTCCTCTCTATTAATTGTATCTTTATTATTGGTCCCACTATGTGTTGACACGTATTGCTTATCTCACAATCACTACATCTAACAATGTTTTTACAATTCATTAACGAGTCAATTTATAGATACTTCCAAGCTACTATGTGTGGACATGTATTGATTGCCTCACAATCACTACATCTAATAATGCTTTTACAGTTCGTTTAACTGGTTAATTTATAGATACTTTCAAACTCTTATCGATATTTTGTAGTTCTTTAAATTGTTTGGTACGTTAAAATAAATTATTTTTTATTAGTTTTATTTTGTAATATTCCTACGTATCATTTATATACTCATCAATATGGTTAGTGCCCTTGTTAATACTACTTCCGAGTTAATTTAGTTTTGTTGGATTGTTAAATACGATTATAATCTCTTATTTTATCATTTATTTATAACAAGATATTATTCATATCGTTTGTAATATTATTAGTTAAGAATAGACCAATAAATTCAGATTAATCATACTTTATATATCGTTTTATTACTCTTAATATTCTCAACGTAATTTTTATATTTTTATTTCAAAACGTGATTTATAAATTTAAGGTAATATTAAAATATTTATCTTTATTTTTAAAAGGGTATTGAATCCGAACAAGACATATATTTATTTAATTTTCTTGGTTATTTCATATAAAAATTAAATTTACTTGTATTAAATAATAATACTCTATAAAATAATTTAAAATATAGAATTCACAAACTTACCAGGACAGTGTAAGATTGGGCACGTGGGACACCTACAAACTGATAATGCAATGCAGTGAAATCAGAAATGCGTATTACCATTGTCAGTCGTGACATGAACGTGGCTTCGCACGTGCGGACCTCCCTCCTAACCGGCCATTTCGCCACTTCATTAAAAATAATAATTAAAATTTTGACTTTACATATTTAAATTAAATTTATTTATACAAATTAAAAACCCAACATGGTCACTCATGGGAGTACTTCCAAATATACGTATACGTATACCCCATCTCAATAAGAATCCAAAGCTAATTTTTACATTACAAAATTCAATTTAAATATTGTACATATTAGGAGTTTATATATATATATCTATTTAATTTAAATTAAATAAATTAAATTTAAACTTTATTTTAATAAAAAAAATACTCCTAAATTTATTGGGTCCGATCGTTAAAAGAATGAAAATTGAGGTGTATACACATAACATTCACTATATGTATATACATACCATATTATATGGTTGGCCCTTTCATTAGGGGAATGATTGAGAGTTATCCTAATTTAATTTGAATACCTAATTATGTTAAAATGAAATTGATTTAAAAGGTAAATCATATGGTCATTAGAAGCCTAAATGTTACGGTTAAGAAAGTAATTAAATTTTATTATAAGTTAAATTGATAATATATTCTGTTACTTAGCTCCAAAGCTACATAAGCATATATATATATATATATTTAGCAGTGAATTATACATAAATTTCATAGTATAATTTTTTAATATACCGCATTAAAAAATGAGCCACAATAATAATTTTAAATAATCAAATTTCAATAATTATTATTAATAACCCATTATTATTTTTTAAAATAAGATAAAATAATATTCCGATTTCCAATTAATAATTCACTAAAATGGGGAAAGTTTTGGAATTTTTTGGGGGAAAAATAATTATATTTTTTTCAGTGCAGAATTTGGCGTTTTTGATGGCACTTCCAGGTAATTACTTCAATGCATTTTATGCTGTCATATTTTCTTTTTTTTAAAAAAATTGTTAGCAGAATAATATTATTTATTTATATAAAAATATATTAAATTTAGTTATATCTTTTTAAAAAATGATATTGTTATATTTTTAATAATTAACATTTAATAAAGTAATTTGCATTAATAAAACGACACCGTTTTAACCAAGCAATAAACCGTTTTTTTTTTTTTTTCTTCTTGTCGCCAGGCATGTCATGAACTTTTGTTTATCTCATGATCCTGACATTAAAATTGGTAAAGCCTAATTTTCGGGAAATGACATAAAAAGTGAGAGTTAACTGAACTGCATATACATACATATATATATATATATGTATATATATATATCAATAATGTTGTTGTTTTGTATATCAAGTAAATTGCATCTCAAGTTATCATGTGAAGATATATATATATATATATATAATAGCCCCTTCCATTTTTATTTTATTTTATTTGGTTTCTTTTTAATTAAACTAAATAAATAGGCTTGCATGTTTCTGCTAATAACTAAATTCATTACTCAATAAATTTTAATAGTTATCTTTGTTCTATTTTATATTAAAGAATTATCTTAATTCTTATTTAATATAAGCATATTATATATTATGTTATATTAAAAAAATTAATTAATATTAATTAATCTGATTAAACCATAAAAATAATACGTGCAAATTCCAATTTAATTATGGAGTAATTAGCTCTTTAAATGTACTATAAATGCACTACAAATATTTTAAATTTATTAAAATATTTTAAAAACTCATAATTGATCTAAAATATAGAAACCCATTTAAAAATAAAATTTTTTTTAAAAAATATTTAATTTTTTTTTTATCTAAATACATATTCTATTATTTGTGTATTTTAAATTCAATAGTTAAATAAGCTTAGATGAATGTCATTTTCGTAATTTAGCAGAAAACACGGAGCAATATTCCCTGACGTCTGATTGTAATTGGCACTAAAGTAATTATTGGCGTTAACTTTCAAGGTTTGGTGTCTTTTTAACTTATCCGCAAAATATCGCGCTAAATTGGGGAGAAAGCGGTAAATTAATTACTTAAGGCGTGGTAATTTGATTTAATGTGGGCCACACGATCTTGATATAGTACAATATGCCTTTTTCTGGGTGGGCCCAGACGATCTTTTTTTTTAGCCCGATGAAAATTCTGCTGATGCATCCGTGTTCCCCGTTCGTTGAGCCGTGTCACCTGATCAAAAACCCCACCGCTGTCGTTTTATTTAAAAGAATTTTTAGGACTCTGCGTTTTAAGTCTTTCTTTCTTTTTTTTTTTTTTTACTGTTACTTTTAAGATTAGTTACCGTGGAATATTACCATACTAAGTGCACCCACTAATTAATTACAGAGATATAATATAAATTTGTGAAAGCAGGATGGAAGTAATATGTTGATTTATGAAACAAAAAAGACGAAGCAATTCGTTGACTTTGACCAAAATGCGAAGTGGAAGAAGTGAGAGAAGGGCGATGCAGTTTCCTCCTCCTTTATCTTTTCAAGCTGGCCAATGTGATATCTTTTGCCTTTTAATTGTCTACCTTTGCACAAAAGACGGTTGCCGACATTATTATTACTTATTACTCTTAAAACAACGACTGAATTTACAATATACACTATGTAAGTGTATATAATATAGTTTTTTTAAAATTATTTTTAAACACACTAATATCTTCTAATTTATTATTATTAACTAAGCAAACTTATGGGCAGAAATAATCAAAATAAACAAGTAATAAATTTAAATAATATTACAATAATAGATATATATATGTCTAAACAAAGAAAAAATGTAATCAAATTCTCACGTATGCATTTACATATATATATATATATATATTGAGCAACATTGCAATCATTTCTATGTATGGTGACATTATATAATTAATATGCTTTATGTGGGAATACATATAATATTAAATATTATAACCCCACATGTGGTAATCTTGAATGATAGTAAACGGTCACTAAATTGACTGATTTGATCTTAGAAACAAAAGGAGATCATTTGGTCTATATGGGTTTAAAGAAGTTTTTTTTTTTTTTTCAAAGTAATGATCAAGTTTATTAATTATTAAAAAATTTATAAATTTAATTAATTTGTAAATTAATAATTTATATATTATATAAATTTCACTAATATATTATTATTATTATTAATATATAAATTTTGCGTAACTTTTAAAATATATAAATTGATGGTGCGAAACATATATTATGTAGTGGTTAAATTTTTTAAGTTAAAATAATAATAATTAATTAAAAATAAATTAATAATAAATATAAATTAACAAAATAAAAAAAGAAAAAGTGGGGCCATTTATAATTTTATGTGCTGTTATGTTCACCATCATCTCTTCTTTAACTTTTGCGTTAAATAATATTTATTTTATAAGACTTGTAATTAATACCACGCATGAGATATTAATTATTCCCTCAAATCATAGACTGATATTTTTGTTTATATTTTTCAGAAAATTATAATAGTATTAATTCTATTATTATTATTAGTCTAAAAATATCACATAATTATTAAAATATATAAAAATTTGGTTAAAAAAAAAAAGAAGAATAAACATTAAAATGCGAGGAGTTTTCGATTAATTCCTTACTTTATTATTTATTAATATTTAATATTATCTTTATTAAATTCACACTAAATAATATATGATACGAATATTGTACATCAAATATACTGATCATGTTGGTGGGCGTGGGCCTGGCTTTTCTTTTTTGCTTTAAAATTTTTTAACATGTTTTTTATATATATATATATATATTTTAAAATTTACAAGAAGTTATTAATATAATTTACGAATTTTAGTGTTTCACTAATGTCAATAAATTCAAAATTTAATGAATAAAATAAAACAACAAAAAAATTACTAAAAATTCTCAAAGGTTAATAAAAAATATTTGCTTTTGAATCCAATTGAATTAGAAAATTAAAATAATGAATTATAATACCGCACATGATTAGATGACAGGGAGTTGGGCCCTTAAAATTGGGATGAGAAATTTTTGTTTTTATGATTCTAAGCATGTTTTGTGGGTGACCCACAAACCCCCGTGGCTGGTTGTAGCAATTATTAGCTTGGTTGGTACTCGGCTCTGACCCACGACGGACCCAGTGGCTCGTGGCTACTGAGCCACAGTGACTCTGCAGTTACTGCTCTAGTTGACCCATAATTTTCATGACTCTTAGTTCATTTTCAGAAATGGTCCAATCCACCTTGTTTGTCTTTGCTCGTCTTGTTCTGGAATTAAGAAAGGATAAAATAATATTCTTTGATTGATTTAGTAAGAAGATAATTGATTTTTTTTTTTGAAGAAGAAGAGAAAAATTATTTAATAATTATTTTGATTTTCCAACTTTTTGGTCAAGCATTAGAAAATGTATTAGACCCAAAACTCTAGAGAGCCCAAAAAGCTAAAGTAGTCTCAACATATTTTCCTTAATGATTGGGCCCACGGATTAGCCCATCCGAAACCAGAATAAGTTTAGCCCCAAAAATGAACGTGGGGCCCGCCCAATAAGTACGGGAGCCCGTTTTCGGGTATTTACATCTTACCCCTATACAAACCCAATCCTGTCCTAACGACCGCCACGTGTCAAAGCCTTAACCAATCCCACTAAATATCGCTCCTGTTCTCTCTCCTCCGAAAAAAACATTTTAAAAAATCTCTGTAACCGTGGAGTGGTGATCAGTTCTGGCTCCTTTAGCGCCATGGACGCGGGAGCTCTACTCTACTCTCCGAAGTTCCTCTCTCTCGTAGCCCCGCCTGACATCTTGGTCCGAAGTAAGTCTCTCCGCTCCGATTCCTTTTCGGGAGCTCTGTTTCGGGCTCGCGTTCGGTCGCAAGAGCGGTGCAGTATTTTCCGGGTTTCAGCCCGGACGAACGTGAAAGTTTACGCGGATGTGGAATCGAAGTCGGTACCGAGATCGGTGAAGTCTGAAGATTCGTTAGATGACGTCGTTTTGCGGAGTGATGACCAAGAGAGCTCGGTTCCGTGGTGGGAGGAGTTACCGAAACGCTGGGTTATCGTGCTTCTTTGTTTTTCCGCTTTTCTGCTCTGCAATATGGACAGAGTAAGCTAGGCTTCTTCTTAATTGCGCATGCAACCTGTAGTAGTAATTTTATAGATTTAATTATCTGTTGCTTTTAAATGCTGGAAGTAAAGCTACTTAAGCAGCATTGGAACTGATGGGAATCTTGATATGGTTTTGCTCTATATATGTCGCTATTGCTAGAAAATTGACAGACTACGTACTGTGATTGAGCTCATTATCAATGTTCTAACCGGAAATGGCAGTAATATATATTAGAAGAAGTACAAATTGTGGAATAAGAAAGTATTTCCTGTTATATTCGTTTCTATTACTTTACTACCATTGTCAGGATTCTGTTAGTAATTTTTAGTTATGAACTTTGAGTAGGGTCTGTTTTGCAGGTTAACATGAGCATTGCTATACTTCCAATGTCGGCAGAGTTTAACTGGAATCCAGCAACTGTGGGTTTGATCCAGTCTTCTTTCTTTTGGGGATATCTCCTCACTCAGGTAAAGAACACGTTCTCAATCAGAATTGGTTTGCATTTTCATGTTTCTCCGCTATTATAGTGCAATGGTATGGAAAAAACATTAACACTGAGTCTGCATTTTACCCTAACTTCTTGTTGTTAGTGACAGATTGCCGGTGGGATATGGGCAGATACAGTGGGCGGGAAGCTGGTGTTGGGATTTGGGGTGGTTTGGTGGTCAATTGCCACGTCTCTCACTCCTGTTGCTGCTAAACTTGGGCTGCCATTCTTGCTTGTTTCTCGTGCTTTTATGGGGATAGGGGAGGTTGGTTCATTCTTGCCCGTTGATGATATTTGCTTTCAGTAATGCTAGCGGAGGAAATCATTTTTCTAACGAGGAAAAACATGAATTGATGGTTTTTCTTGTTGATACTCAGAAAATTTGATTCTCTTGCAGGGTGTTGCTATGCCTGCCATGAATAATATATTGTCCAAATGGGTTCCTGTGGCAGAAAGAAGTAGATCGTTAGCACTTGTGTACAGTGGAATGTACCTTGGATCAGTTACCGGCCTGGCATTTTCACCATTCCTAATACATCAGTTTGGATGGCCATCTGTCTTTTACTCTTTTGGTTCTCTAGGGATAGTTTGGTTTTCCGTGTGGTTAAATAAGGTACATGTTAGAGCTTTCAATAACTATCATTGGGTCTTTAATTGAGATATTTCATTTACCAACATTCTTAAGGTTCTTAGCCTGCAATATTACACATGTCACGAACAACTTTAAGCATATCATAGTTTGCGTGGCAGCCTATGCTAGCTAGTTCTAAAGTTAATTTTTGATATTATCCAAATATTATATTACAAAATACTATCCTCTCTGTTACTTGTTTCTGTAGGCACAAAGTTCACCTGTTGAAGACCCTCAGCTGCGGCCTGAAGAAAGATCGCTAATTGCCAAAGACTGTGCTTCTAAAGAACCTGTTAAAATAATACCTTGGAGATTAATCTTGTCAAAACCTCCTGTATGGGCCCTGATAGGATGTCACTTCTGTCATAACTGGGGAACTTTTATTCTTCTAACATGGATGCCGACGTATTATAATCAAGTACTTCTTTTTTTCTCTTTCTAATGTGAAATAATAACTTCTAACATCATCTCTTGAATTTAATAGCAAATTTATCATGTCAATCTGTACTTCTAACTGTTTTTCTAACATTTGATGGCCAACGTTAAGATTATTTCACAAGTTACAATTTACTGAAGCATGTGATTTCCCACAAACATGCTTCTTTGCGCATGAAGTTTCAAAGTTCTGCTTATCCTGTGACTTTTTACCCGATATATATGCTGCTAAAGCTAGTGGTTTAAATTCCATCATACTTATCGGCGAGCAGTTTATGAAGCCAAAAACTAACCAAAATTATTAATTGCTGCACATTTCTGGATAGGTTCTGAAGTTCAATCTGACAGAATCAGGGCTTTTCTGTGTCTTGCCCTGGCTTACAATGGCATTTTCTGCTAACCTTGGAGGCTGGATTGCTGATACACTTGTGAGCAAAGGTTTACCTGTAACCACAGTCCGCAAGGTATGTTTTTCAATTTGATGGTGCATCCTTTTATTTGAATATTTTCACATTGCATCTTTAGTTCAGTGATGCTTTACCACTGTAGTTCCACACAACAATTTTGCTGAGAACGATATACGAATTTGTCTATAATAAAAAAGTTGATGAATTTGACATATACTGTGGTTTTCTACCGTTATGTATTTTGCTTTAATCGGTGATTCTTGAAGGGTAGATAGTGTCTTGGGGTAAAGATGGTGAGTCTAACCTCTCCATCCCCCTGCTCGTTCTGGTTTTGCTAGGTATTTTGACTATCTGTATGGCTAACTGAAACCCCCATACTCTATTGCAGATCATGCAATCAATTGGATTTCTTGGCCCTGCTTTCTTTCTAACACAGTTGAGCCATGTTAATTCTCCTGCTATGGCAGTTTTATGCATGGCATGCAGTCAGGTTTACTTCTTACCCTAGGCTGAAATGAAAAACGAATACTTTAAGTTGCTTTCCCTGAAATTTGGATTCCAATTTGTACATTAGTCTGTAATCTATATAATTTCCCATTCATAGAAGAGTTAGAAAATGGATTACAGATTCTGTCATTATTAAATTTCTATTTTCCTATCTTTCTGAATTCTATGGTTTGGTAATCTAGAAGCCAAATAGCTAGCCCTACATGCTTATGGTTGTTCTCAAAATTCAAAAGCTTATATGCAACCAAACGTAGAAGACTTACTTGGCTGTTTTTTATACATTTATTGCTCTCTCCTTTTTGACACAGAAAGTGACAGTTTATTCTGATTTACTACCTAAGTTGATGGTTGTCTTTGCTCTCATTTCCTTAAATAGGGAACTGATGCATTTTCACAATCTGGTCTATATTCCAACCATCAAGATATTGCCCCCCGATACTCTGTAAGTATGTCTACAGATGATCTGAATATTGATGTCTCAGATTAGGATATGCATGAGTATATTCAAGAAAATCTTAATTAAGTCTTCATTTGCTAACCTATGCTATACCTACATTAGTTATCATCTAATGGAGTCTGAATTTAAAATATTGGCTATGTTTGGAACAAACTCGTAAATTTGGAGATTTTCACTTGTATAATTCACATGTAGTTTAAGTGGACAGGGATATAAATTATATTAGAATATGATAAGTATGGAATTATTTGTGATGGAATTTGGAATGCTTGAAACACTATATAGGATTAATTTTTATCATTTGAGAAAAGGTCATCAGTATTGTTCTAAATGAAGTAAATATATATTTGCAAATTAATTCTACAAAAATTTTGTATTTGTTCCAAGCCAATATGATTAGTCCTCCAAGCATTTTAGAAGCCAAGTACTATCTTTCATTTCCACTTCTTTGTTCAGGGCGTATTACTTGGTCTATCAAACACTGCTGGGGTTCTGGCAGGTGTCTTCGGTACAGCAGCAACCGGTTACATTTTGCAACATGGTTAGTGGCTTTTTCATCTTCTAGTCGCTAGCAACTGGACTCTCCTTATGCTTTATCGATTTTCTCAGTTTCTTTGATTTTTCACTCTTCTTTTAGAACGATATTTGAAATAAATTCAGAAACTTTATAAAATTTATTTATAAATTTGCATATAGTTCAAATACAGAACGATGGCCATCATTCTTAGAATGGTTTGTAAAATCCATTTGTAAAATTCAGAAATTTTGTCATATATGCATAGTTTTTTAAATGATCAAAGATAATCTCATAAGGAATTGAGATATTGTACTGCAAATTGCATCAATTTGGTACTTATCTAATTGCACATGAAATTTTGTTATGAAGTTAATAAATTAAGCATGGATTTACAAAAAGTTCTATAAAATTCCTGAGTTTATTTCAACATAGTCTAAAGTTATATCTTCTAACTGATCTTTATGTATATCCTCTTCAAATAAAAATTTTTCAGGCTCCTGGGATGATGTTTTCAAGGTTTCTGTGGGGCTTTACTTGGTTGGAACTGTTGTCTGGAATCTCTTCTCGACCGGTGAGAAAATAATCGATTAGTTCTTGGATGGTTTGATATGTATAGCATCCAGCAGCTCTGAGGCCCCTCGCAATAATTTAAGTTAATATAAGAGACCAAGAATTGATTGTGTTGAAAGAAGATGTTATCAATTGAGAGAGTCAACAGGGGAAGAATCGAAGGATTCTTCATTCAAGATTCTTTGCTTTGGAGCACTGGCCAAGATTTTGATTCATTGCAATTCTGGATAGCAAACAAGTAAAGCTTAGGGTTTAATAGCACTGCTTCTGGGTTTTTGGTTGAAATAGTTACGAGGCATTCAGTGGCAAAAAGTAGATGATTTATAAAGAAATCCAAAACTATAGCCTGTAAATGTTGTAATCCAAAGCCAAAACTATACACACCAGAATTTTTCTTCTTTTGTTGTGCCTACCTGCAAATTCAATGTTTCTTGAGTCTTAAACTTAGATTAGATATATCTATTAAATTAAGAAATGGTAAATTAATTTCCTATAAAATATATATTTATACAAAGGTAGTCTTTAATTTTTGTATGCAACAGTTTATTTATATTTGGAGTCGAACTAGTTGAAATGCTTGGACGATTACTACATCCCGTGGTTTCTGTGTGGTAACATTTGGACTAAATTTGAAAATTACAAAAACTGATCTCAAGTGTATTTTCAGACATAACCTCAGACGATTCTCACATACAATAACAAAAGGGTTTATATATATATATATACATACACACACACACACACACACATGTAATATGGTTTATTTTATAATTAACTGTAGTTTTATTGACAAAACATAAAAGAAAGCCCACATCAACTGACGTGGAATAATATATGACAATTAACAAACACTTTTTCGAAACTACACTAAAGAAAATTAAACCAACCCAAACAAGCAAATAACCAAAATGACAACAATGCCCTCCAACCCAAGTATATCAATAACATTGAAACCAATTAAAATTTGTCTTTTGCATAACCTTCTTAAACTGTTGAAATGACAATAATACCCTCTAGACTCACCGAATTTATCTTTTTACCCTTCTCGCTTTCACTGCTCAATTTTCTTCTTCATGCAAGAATGCGAGGCTGCAAGTACACACGGAGCCCGTTCTTCATAAACAAAGTCAGAGACATCTTCTGTTCCACTCGGTGACCGGGTACCAGAGATAGCCGGTAACGCAGCAGGATCGCAGAGGCCACAGACTTCATTTGCAGGTAAGCCAGATCCTTGCCTAAGCAGGTTCTCGGTCCGGCATTAAACGCCACGAACTTGTATCCATCTTTCGGAGGTTCGAACCGGTCTCCCTCCGTCGATAACCACCGGTTCGGTCTGAACTCCGCGCAGTCCTCGCCCCATATCGCCTTCATCCTCCCCACCGAGTAAATCGAATACGTCACCGTCGAACCTGCCGGGACGGGAGTGCCGTCAGGCAAAACGTCGTCATTCACGACGTACTTGAAGTCTTGCGGTACCGACGGGTACAGCCGCAGAGACTCCGCCAGTGCCGCCTTGAGGTACACCAACTTATCGGCTTCGTCGAACGTTAGTGGCTCCTCCACCCATTTCCCGGGATTCTCTCCACGTGTCTCTCTGAGAACCGTTGAAATTTCGTGAACGACTTTCTTCTCGATTTCTGGGTGGTTCATGAGTAACCACAAGAACCAGCTCAGGGCCACCGACGATGTGTCCCGGCCCGCGAGAACGAAATTCAGAGCGATGCGTTGGAGGACCGGAGTGGGGAAAGCGTTGCCGTCAATGTCCCTTTTTTTCATAAAACGTGAGAGTAAATCATCTGATGGGGAGTTTTTACGTGCTGAGATTGCTTGGTTCATATAATCTTCAACAACGAGGAGACTCTCTCTCAACCTCTTCTCACCTCCAAAATCAAAAAGCTTCTTTAATCTCCATAAAAAACCAGGGTAGAGGAGTCTCTGCAGAGTAGCTTCCGTGGCGGTGTCAAACGCGACGGCAAACGGATTTTCCGGGAACTCAGGCGAGAGAGTTTCTGGGTCTTTTCCAAAAGTGAGTCCACAAATATTATCGAACGTCAAACGAAGCAACAAGTCCTGCAAATCGACCGATTGCTTCTCCTTGGCCGCTTTGTCCAGAATGACCCACAACCGGTTCCTGATCGTCCGGTTCACCCACCGAGCCATTGCTTGTCTCAGTGTCCGAGTTGTAAACTCAAGAGCAGCAGTTTTTCTCTGTATCAGCCACGTCTCTCCATCACTGTTGAAGATCCCTTGCCCTAAAAGATCATGAAACGCCTTTTGCCATGTGGGTCCTTTCGGGTAATTATCAAACCGGGTTCGAAGAATATGCTCCATGTTTTTCGGGTGGCAAGTGACTGTGTAAAACCCTTGTTTGTGGGCAAAGAAAGGCAGCGCAATGGTGCAGGTTTGGTAAGTGGCTGATCCACCAGCTCCATTGAGATTGCTGGCAATCCAGTCATGCATTCTCGTCCGGTTCTTGAAGAGAGCCGGGAGGCTGCCGACAAGCGGCCATACTTTGGGACCAGTTAACTTCTGAGTTAGGAGATAGAACCAGAAAGCATAAGCCGATATTGCAGCCAATAGACAGAGAAGGAAAAGGGTGGTCTCCATTGATGGAATGAGCTCAGAGTTGGTGATCAGTTTTGAAGGTTTTGCAGCAGGGAAATTCTGATTGAGACGACGAGGGAGGGTTGGTATATATAGTAGTGATATAATGAGAAAGGTTTAGGAGGAGTGGTTGAGAAGTTTTTGTGCATGCATGTAGGGGTTCGCTCTTGGGTTGATAGGAAATATGAACACGAAAGTTAACCATGCAGAAAATCATTCAAGAAATAATCACCATTTGTTAATTAAGTCCTTAAGGTTGCTTCTGGTTCATTACAAATAAGAGCAATTGGATTTTACATATATTTTTTTTAGTAACAAAATACTTGTAATTGATAGTTAACATTAAAAATAAAATAATTATTCTAAACTTTTAATTTAACAAGTTTTAAAAAATGAAAATTTTAATTCAATATAAAAAGTAGTGTCATATATATATATATTAAGAAATCTTATTATCATTAAATTATTTAATATGTTGATACATATCTATTTCTCTATAAAATTTTTTTTTATGAATTTGGGTATAATACTTCTTTATGTATTTATTTAAAGGTTATATTTTGTTATACTATAATTAAGTTCATGTATCTTATAATTAATGGATATGTAAATTTTTATTAAAAAATTATTTCTATAATAAAAATAATCTCTTATTAAATTAAAAAGTTTTTATACAAACCAATGTGATTTTAAGTGGTTAAGGATTAAAAAATTAAAAAAAAATAAGTATGTACTTTTCAAAAAAAAAAAGTATATAGTTATAATTAATATATACTATTTGCCTAATTATATTATCACATCATAGTTCAATACATACAAATAATATTTTGTAAGCATAATGTGAGTAGTTATTTATTAAATAATAATATTTTTTGTCAATAGTAAATATTGTTTTAGAGAAGATAAATTTTTTTTTTTTTGATATAATTCAAAATGAGTCAGGACTCTTAATCATACTTAACATTCATATATAATATATATAATTTAGACAATTTTAAAAACAAGTATAAACCCAAATTTATAATATGATATAATTTAATAAGATCCCTAATCTAATTGGTTTTGAAGTACGTCGTTAATCAAGATTATCTTGAACATGACTTAGAAATAATATAATTTTGAACTCACTAAGTACGAGATATAATTTAAATTTAATTTAAGAAATAATTCTAAATTTAATGTAAATATAATTTTATTTTTGTCACTAACTTCAATTTTGATATGATTTATTTTAAAATAAAAAAAAAACTTAATTTTAGTTTGGACTCAAATTTAGTCGGAATTGGACTTAAGATAAGAACAAAAAATTTATATTTATTGTTATAAAACTATTTAATGTTCTATCATATTGTGTGCACCAAATATAAAATAATGTATTATATAATGTCATATAAGTCTTCTACATTGGAATATATCTATATATACTGTATGCTAAAGTATATATCGAACACCATTATCAACACTATTTAAATTACCATTATATAACATGATCATTAGCATTGCGTGTGCACATAAAACATTCACACATATAATCAATGTCAATTTTATATTATGTTTGTTATATGTAGGATAATATTATCGTAATGGTCCTAAACTAGAAACTAACTATGATATACAAATCACTGTAAATTGTTATATATATGTATATGTATATATATATATATATTTCTGGTCTCCTAAATTCACTCAAACAGAGAGTGGTTAAAGACAGTTGATCCATACAGAGAAAATGGGTTAATCTGGGAAAAACATAAATCAATAAATGATTATAGTATACATATATATATATATATATACACATATAGTGAATTTTGAATGAATGAAATATATAAAACCAATATTTAGAGAAATTGACTTTGACACTCTTTGTACAAGTAGTTATACTGAAGAAGAAACTTTGAGGAGAAGAAAATAAAGATGGCTACGTTTTCTCTTGCCATTTCTTAAGGAAAACCTACTTTTAATTTTAATCCCACCAACCCTATTCATTTTTTTCCACTATTTCTAAATTACTTTTAAGTGGGTCGTTTTATAAGTTTAAGTAATTTCTGGGTCAAATAGTAACCTTAGATATGACTATAGAGAGAAAGATATATATAAGTATTCATATAGTATGTGGTATTCATATAGTGTATGTATATAAAGGGTAAGCTCACCAGGGAAATTGCTATGGGCTATCATTTTGCCACGTGTCAATCCCACATCCACTACAAACCAAAAATAATCATCCCCTCCTTCCATTTTCATTCTCTCAAAAAAAAAAAAAAAAAAAAGAAAGAAAAAGAATGGCAAACCATGAAGATAAAGATAAGCCACTTGTGGAGAACTTGTGCCAGAAACACTCCCTGATATCATCCAACGGCTCAAAATTGATCTGAAAAACATACCCAAAACGAAATATATTCACCAATATTCCCCGAAAAAACTCCATCCTTCTTTGATAAAGTAAAGAGAGAAGAAGATAAGAAGATAACAATGGCGTCCATGCTGATTTCCTTCACTCCTGCAACTACAAGAGTTTATGCGGCCACAGCAGCGAAAGGCGTAGGTGGGTCGAAAGAAGAAAAGGGTTTTCTGGATTGGGTTCTGGGGAACTTGCAGAAGGAAGATCAGTTCTATGAAACTGATCCCATTCTGAAGAAGGTGGAGGAAAAGAATGAGGGATCCTCCAACAATGGCCGCAAGAACTCTGTGTCTGTTCCCCAGAAGAAGAAGGGTGGATTTGGTGGTCTGTTTGCCAAGAAATGAAATCTTGAACTTTCTTTTTCTAAAGAAAAAAAAAAAAAATTGAAATTTGGTGGGTTGATTTTTCTTCATTCTTGAAGCTTTTTTATTGAGCTCTGATTTCCCCTTGTCTCTCCATATGATATTACACTGCAATTTCACTTCAATATATATATATATACATATCTATTTTATTTTGTTGGAATATGAATTGAATCCAATTATTAGGCTTGTGTTTGGTTAAGTTAATGTTTAAACAGAACTAAGATTCTGATTATAAATTGAATGAGAATTTAACCAAACGCAGCCTTACTGTGTTTTGCATACATTTGAATTCCACCTAATTAGTCCTTGAAAATCTGAGTATATTTAAGATTAGAGTTTATATGGCTGTATGCTAGTGATGGTTTTGTCTGTTCAGACATTCGATTTAGTGGCTATGAGCTTTGAATCTAACTGGAATCAACAGAGAGTAATACTTATGGATTTCTATATTTCATGGAGGGGAAAAGATAGTGTATAGTAGTAATTCAATAACTTTGTTATACAATTATTATTTTTAATCGAAAAAAGATTAGACAAGGGTTTTTAATAAGTTGTGATTATCTAATTAAAAAAATATAGCCGCTATTAAATATTTTTTATCGATAAACGCAATAAGTTAATTGAAATTTAACTTTAAATTGATCACTGCAGTCTTATTAATGTACTACTGAACTAAGTTCTCGATCCTATTGAATTAAATATCATAAGTCGGGTATCACCAATTCATAATACACTTATAAAATAACGAATTTTGCATCTTCAATAAGATACATAATTTAATAAACTCGGTTAAACCCGTCATATGAGCTAACTTTGTTATTACAATCATTTGATTATTAAGAAATTATAGTAGGTAATTATTGAATTACAGTAAAATGTGTCATGCTCGATGCGAGAGAATATTTTATTTTGTTAATAAAATTACCGATATACACTAATTATAATAAAATCTACTAACGAATGTACACAAAATATATTTTCTATATTCAGTAACACATAAAATAGTTAGTGTCTCTTGGTTCATCTGTGGAGCTTGTTCTCCACCCAAATAACTTTTCCAATTATAAATGAAATTTCTAATGTTTAACACTTGTATTTGCATTTTGTTTAACCATAGACTGTGTATATATATATATATGTGTGTGTGTGTAAAGAAGCCAGATAGCACCCATTCTTTTCATAATTCATAGCATCACTTAACTTGGGGTAGCAGCAAATAAAGGAGCTTAGCCAGAAGAATCTATGGCTTTGTTTATTGTTTAGCTTAGTACCCCAATTACATGTATACAGACATATATGTATATATTGTAGGAGAGCCTTTTGTTTTCCAATTAAGAAAAGTAATTTAAGTAGTGAAAGAAAGAGGTAATGGGAATCATTTGAGAATATAAATAGAAAGAACCCACCCCTGTTTTTATGGGCTGCCATGGCCTAAAGTATGTAAGTGGTAAGTCACACGATGAAGATAATTATGACTGCTAACTGCTAAGATTCATATCATAATTATACTACATATAATATTGTACTAACTTTTTTTTTTAATAAATTTATGTTTTGCTTCTAATTTCGTATTCGATTTCTAGTTTTTTCGAGTGTTTTTTGTACATTATTTTTTATGTGAACATAAATCGACGCAATCAAACTACGTAAAATTTATGTCTTGTACTTCGTTGTTTGTTTCCTTCGTTCGCGTCCTAACAACGACATTCTTCCAATTTTTTTGCAGCCAATTTGAAACCAAATTATTCATGTCAACTTCGATATGAATTGACAGCAAATTAGCTGGCCTCTTGCTTTTTGATTATACTGCAGACGAGAATCCTAGCGAATCGAAACAGATTCAAATTTTTGACGACAAATCCCCTCGATCATGGATGCAAATTGGTTACTCACGTGCGGACCTGATGGTTGTCGAAGATGGGCGGCGAGTGAGGTTAACCTGAATTCTGACAAGCAGAATTGTCAAGTTTTGATTCTGTCCTGCATATAGCCAGGCATGCTTGGCCATTACAGTATCAAGAAAGCTAACAAACATAACATGTACATCTATATTTTGTTCTGCCCTGTTTTTGCTCTGACCTACTCTCTGTTTTTATTTTTCTCTCAAGAAAAATTTCATGAGCTTTCTCATTAGACAACGAGATTGGATCCCGGAGACAGGTATTTTTTGGTTTCTTTCAAGATTTTTTTGAAGAAAGTATATCGAACATGTCAATTAGTGTTGCTTCTTCAGTTGGACAAACTATATAAAAACAGAGGACATTCTTGAAGAATACCATTTTAATTAAATTTTGTTCTGTCCTGTTTTTGCTCTGCCCGACTCTCTGTTTTTCTTTTTCTGGAGAAAAATTTCTCGAGCTTTCTGATCGCGAACGAGATTCAATCCCAGAAACAAGTCTTCTAGGTTTTTTTTTTTTTTTCTCTCTCAAGATTTAGTGGAAGAAAGTATATGAAACATGTCAATTAATATTGCCTTTTGACATGGACAAAATTGATGAAAACAGAGGATATTCTTGAAAAACACCAGTATAATTAAATTAAATTCTAGCTTTTTCGGATCCGAATCCGGGTTTCTGCAGAGGTTTATATCCTCTAAAAAAGAAAAGGATAAGATTAAAATTCTTTGTTTTAACAATATATAAGATGGGTTTACAAATATTTCATGGATCAATACAGATTTCTGATAAAGAAGAAGTAACTTTTGTACACATAGGGGAATAAGATGATATACGTAGTCCACGAGACAACATTATTAACTAGGAAGTTTGTAGACAATTTTTTTAAGATGTTACAGAATTTGATCTTGGCAAAGATGAAGAAGAGTTGATGAACTCAATGCAGTCTTCTATGGCCTCATTTCTATGAGAATCAACAGGAGTTACAAACGGTTTCGATCTCCCAGACGAAGAAATTTTTGGAGATTTTCTCTTTTTCATTGCGATAAAACGCATACCTTTTGCAACTTTGGATTTAAGATGCTTGAAGAACGGGAGGGGTGAGAGTTCTGATCGTTTGGGAAGCTTAATCCGCAATTACCGGTAATTCCCCTGTTTCGATCCATCGAGTTTTTCTTCCGGGAATCGGGTTCTTTTCCCTTTAGCTGGTCTACGAGTAACTTGGGTACTTTCTGTTGTTGAGGTTGCCGCCATTGATGGGGTTGGATTGGACAGAGGAGAAGCAGAATGTTATAGATGATGTCAAAGGAAGAAATTGAAAGCAGAGCGAATAGAATAAGTGGGAGTCATTTTGGACATATAAAAACAGAGGGTCCTAACTCCTAACATACTAAGATTAGTAGGAAAATAAAATGTGTACACAATAAACATCCACATATTACATATACACATACCCACATGTACACACACACACACACACACGTATATATATACATGACGTAAATTTAAGAGTAGCGAAAGGTTTGGTGTAATCAAATTCAAACACAGATAATGGTTTTGAGTCTTTACTCTTTGGTAACTTTTGAAACATGCATGAGTAGTGTATACTTGCAGCTCACTTTTAGCTTCGACGCAGTGGAATAATGTAATATACTCTTTTATAAACATTAAATATAATATAATACATTTTTGTTAAAAAAATAAAATTGCAATTAGAACATAGTCAAAACATATAATATATTGCTTTACCAAAGGTTAAAATAAAATTACTGAAATTACAAAAAAAAAAATTAAACCAGATGTATTAAATCTTGAAAACCCAGAAAAATAAAACTATATATTTTGCTATTTTTCAAACTTAACAAATAGTAAAAAGTTAAGATGAGCGTACTACAATTTATAAGCTTATTTTACTGAACAGCAAGATGCTCTTTATGCAAGATTACAAACTGAAAGATGAGATTTTTACTGCTGTTGGGAGGTCTCTGATGGGGGGCAATCAATTCTTCTGCGCGAACAAAGTACATACCAGAGACTGGTAACTTTATGTGGAAATATGTTATGGTGATTTGATGATTTATATCAAATATATATATATATATATATATATACATTGCGTCCGTGTGCGTGTGTATATATACATGTATATATAGTTACTATTACAATAAAAACTAAGCATATATATTTCCCAAATCAATTAGTGATGGAAGATTATTGTCTTTTCAACTGAGGTTGTGACCAAAAACAAAATAGGTGTCAATGGTGGGTACCAAAAGAATAAAGGAAACTGTCTCCCCGTCAGAACCCTCCACTTATGTTAAAACAAGGGGTTAGTGCAGGCTTAACCAGTGATTAGAAATAAATTATACACTGTTTGCAAATGAAAATATGTGATTATTATTTGTTTGGAAATATATGGTTCTTCATTGTTGCCTTGAGCACTGCATCGTGTATTATTTATTACTATTTTTGGAATTAAAGTTAAATTTTTTTATTAAATTCATTGGTGAAGTGAAAATCAATTCGATTATTACGTTGTGAAAATTCTTTTTAGTGAAACTCAGAACAAAGCATTTCAAATTTATTAATTTGAAGCTTAATATCCTCTAATTGAATTTTAAGATTACATTTGCAGACCAACTTCAATAAAGTTTCTGAATTTATCCAAATGTAAGTTAAATTTATGTTACTACAGATATTAAAATTTTTTAATTTATATGGATCGTCGTACAAGATAAATTCTGATTCATTTTAATTAAACTTCTTTTTCATGAATCTTGGAATTCTTCTCACTTACAAGAAAATAATTCAGTTCCGGAGCCAAAGATCATGGTTCTTGAATAAGAAATTGAAAGGATTTTTGAGCATCTTCGGATTTAGGTATTGTAGTCAATGTATGGAGCTATATACCTTCCGGAGATTTTCTGTTTAGAAAGATTATAACTTGAGTAAATTAAAGAGAAGAACAACCAAGATAAGAAGAAACTCACATTAGGCAAAATAAGAAATTCTCACTAAAATATATGCAAACTGATTACAACTGCTACATATCCATCTCTATTTATCAGAGACAAGACTAAATTATTTACGTTCATCTGCTTTGCTTAGAGCAGAGTTACAGAGTAGTCTTCAACACAGGTAAAATTAGAAGAAGGGTATGATGAAAAAAGTTCAGAAGTTCTAATCACAGCGTAAAATAATGACTTGGGTCAGAAGCTCACAGATTGATTTCACCTGCAAATCTATTAGGCTAAAATCGATGATCAAAATCCATCAGGTAAGATATTTTGATAATTTGAAATAAAATGATCAATCTAAAAGGATGCGATATGCACAACCTTAGTCTATCACAGTCTAAAATAATAAGTTAGATGACCAATTTTCCAAAAGCTTAACCCATGAAAAAGAGCTCTATTTATTATTTATACTCTAAAACGAAACATAGATCTTGAGATCCACCATATCTTATGCTAAAATTTAAGTAAACAAATTTTATACCTAACTCCGTCGTCAAAAATAGAGTAGATAACTAATAATTTCAAATGGACAATCTATTATTTCTTTATACTCTTAACACACAATTTATGATTCAAATCAATAAAACTCACTGTTTATCATTCATGACAAGCAAAATCTCCCCACCAATTCCAATGATGCTATCCAAGAATTCCTGAACGTCTTCGCTATCTTTAAAAGACTGAGGAGTAGCAAGATCACTATCCAAATTATACCAAACCCCATTGATCTTCCTCAGTGTAACCCAGTGTCTGCCTCTCCAAATCCCTCCATACCGCCTCACGGGAACATTTAGCACAATACCCATCAAAGTTTCCTCCACATCAATCCCATCAAGATCAATGGAAGAAGCTCCATTTCGCTTGTCGTGCCAAATTACTGTCTTCCCTTCCTTTTCAAGGGCTGCAATGAGTACATTTATGTCATAGTTTCCTGTAATTGAGTTATGATGAGGCTTGAAGAGCAAAGATAATGGTGTCCAAGCTTCTCTGTTTGGATCGTCAGCAACAAGTTTCTCACCAATTGCATTCAAGCTTGCTCGAGTAAACGCATCCCTTTTCTGAATTACAAATTAAAAATTCATAATGCAGTGATGACACTGCATGAATATAATAAAAAATTAACACTAATAATTACTGGAAAAGAAACAAAAATCGATATTTTTGTTGCCCTAGAAAACTAGTTATCCTGACTGAATTAAGCACAAGCAGTTTGCTTTATAAACAAATTGGGGATATGGATTCTCATGGTAGCCCATTTGTTTACCTCCAAATAAATTTGAACAATCGGAAAATGATAAATTCTATGCTCATCTGATTACATTTTTTCACCAACCAAACAGAGCTTCGGTTAAAAAGAATCAAGAAAAAAACCTGGAAGAGATTGTTGAGCGAGTGTAAGAGACAAAATTGCAATCTCTGCCTCTCGTGATAGATTCGAGCATCTTCACTCGCCATTTTCGAAGAGAACAATTCAGAATTCTTCCGGGGAAATCGAAAGTCAAAGCTTGGTCGAAAGATTGTACAGATGGAAATTAGATTTACGGGAGAATTTTGAGTTGTTAGGTTTTCATTTGTGGGTAAGGCAGGGGAGATTTATCAGTGATTACTTGAAAATTTGGCGCATAATCTCACGCGCTCAGACAGCGCCAAGTCTTAATCACCGAGTTAGATGGTACCGGCGAGTCCGTCTCCCACTGTGAAGTGCCAGAAAACAATAACTACCTCGTCGATTAAGGAGGAAGGTAATAAACCCTTTTTTTCTTTTTTAAAATATATTTTTAATTAAATTTTTTGAATTTAAATTTATATTTTAAATTACTGCCATGAGAAAAAAATATTATTAATTTATTATAGGTATAGGATTATACGTAATTTATTGTGTTTTTAATTATTTTTTATCTCAAATTAAAATAACATTTAATAATTTAAACCTATAAAACTTATATTCTGAATAAATAATTATTTATATAAAAACTTCAATTAACGATTAACTAGAAATTTAAGTGGAAATTACTGCTTTAATCCTTAGTTATTTTTATATTAAAGTTTGATTTAAATTTTTTTTAAAATTATAATTTACTTCTTAAATTTATAAAATTATTTCAGTTCATATATAATTGTGAAAGTTTTGGTATAAAGTTTGTACTTTTTATAATAATTATATATTCAATTTATAAATTTAATAAAAAAATATATTTATTTAAATTCAAATAAATATAATAACATGTACTAAAAGAAAAAGATATTTGTAATAATTTCTTTTTTAATTAAAAATTTGTACTAAATTTCTTTTCTATTTTTTTTTTTAAATTTGTAGTGCTTAAATATAAATATTATAATTTCCATATCCTCAAATAACACACTAAGAACTTTAGTTATTTCTATAAAAAATTATATTTTAAAAAATTTTATAAACTTTTTTTAAGTGATAATAAAATACATTAAAAAAGAAAAAAAAAAAAGTTTGCAATAACAATTTTTTGTGATTTTTTTTTTCGAATTCTAAATATTAAACATAAATATTTCATTTTTTTTTTATATTCCCAAATAAAATGGTAAGAACTTTGTTATTTCTACAAAAAAAAATTACATTAAAAAAATTAAATTTTGAAATGATTTTATAATTTAATAAACTTACATGTAAAAAAATGATTTCGAGTAAATAAAAAATGTAGGTTATAAGGTTCAAATAATAAATTAATAATTTATTTTAAATCTAAACATAAATTAAATAAATGAATAATAATAATGAGATTTAACCACAATATGCCCAAGGGTCTGTTATTTATAGAGACATATATTTACAGTTAAAATAATTACTTAATCATATCTAACAAAATATATAACTATACTTATAAAATTTAGCAATTTATTTATATTTCTTTAAATAAGATACATTCACATAAAAACTAAAGCACCATGCTGAGTACAACCAGTACATACCATTTTTTTTTAAACTTTCAATACACACATGAATATGAGTAGGATAAAATTGGAATGAAATAGATATATAAACACAGTAGACAGGTTGTTTATTACTAAGCAAAAATGCATAAAGGAATGAATTATCTCAACTCCAAGATACAGGCATCACATGCCACTAGGAGCTATGGATTACATATTGCATAAGTTTTCTGTAATCAAACAGCCGCAGCAAAGGCAGGCCATATTGCCAATTCCCTTGCAAGGGAACATTCTAAAAACCATGAGACAAGACAAATGTTTGAGAGCAAAAACGATTTAATCAACGAGTTTAGGATCAACAAATCAATGCGTAATTTGCTCTTATGGTTGGCAAGTGGAGCTGGGTCAAGCCTGAAAGTGAGAATTTCTCTAGAATTGGTAGACTTCTTGCGATAGCTAGTTTGGAAGTCCTGTGTCCAAACTAAGTTTAAAAGATCTTGCCGCAGGTCACTGCAGATCAACACCCTATTTACATTCATCTTCATGGCATAAAGTGGGGCCTGAGGCCAACCCCTTTCTGGTTTGAAAACAAATGTCTTAAGGTGGTAAGGTTCAGTTATCTAGCCGGCTCATGTTGGTCCCCCATATTGAGGGTCAGTGGATATTAAGGATTTCAAGCTCATTAGCTTGGTGGGTGCATCAACAAACTTTTAGCTAAGGTTCTTCTCAGCAGATTAAGTGGGGTTGTTGCTTTTGTAGTGGAGGAAGCCCAAAATGCTTTTGCGGAGGATACCAAATTCTTGATGCTACTTTTAGCTAATGAGGTGGTGATTTTCATTTTTACATAATAGGGCTTCTGCAAGCTAGGTGTTGAGAGAACTTATAATCATGTCTCTGATCTTTGTTTACTTTTGAGGAGAATGGTTTTTTTGTCCCAAATTGTGCAAATGAATCAAAGGATGCATTTCGAACCCTTCCTCTATTTTCCTTGTTAGGAATCCTAAATTCTTACACTCCTCTAAAAGGCGTTAGGCAAAGCGACCCTCTCTCTCATTTCTCTTCATTTATGTCATGGAGGCTTTTGAGAGGATGCTTCTGCAAGCTAGAGCTTGTAATCTCATTGAAGATCTCACGTTAGCAGCAGGGACTCTAGAAAAGAGCTTAGTCGCTTAACTTACAGATGGTACTTTATATTATTTGAATGCCTAAAAATGGATTTATTTACGAACATAATATCCATCTTTACATGCTTCAAAGCAATATCTAGCCTTCTCATCAATTCGAATAAGTCAAAATTCGGCTCTTCGCGGTTGGAGTGGATGAATTTGAAAACATTTAGTTTGTTGGTTGCTCCGCTACTTCAAATATCTTTGCTCGTCCCTCTGAGTCCAAATTGCCTAAATTTTTTGAAATTTAATTATATTAAATATAGAACTATTATCCCATTCAGAAGTGTATTATTATATTTTTAATAACCTTATTGACTTTATTCTTTTTAGTATTTAGTTTTCTTATGTGAATTAGTAGTAATACTTCCTAATCTTATTATTATTTATATTTCTTAATTTAATCCTATTCAAGAAATGTTACTTAGGAAGCATTATAAGTATCTTCTTGATTTTACTTTTGCAAGAGATGTCACTTGTTCAATAAAATATTTTGGGAATTATCAATTCTTCAGCTGTCTCATGCGATTAAATCGTTAAGATGATATTTAAGATTTCTCAAATATGATGTCTAAAGAACACTAGGTGTGATATCTAGATTTTTGTCCCTATATCCTTAAATAGGCAAATCAATCCTACTTTGTCCTACATCATCCTTAATGTCAAGTTTAAGGATCTTAGTACTCCCACCAGCAAGATGGAGAAGAGATTAACGTGTCAGAAGAAGATCTACCTCTCTAAAGGTAGAAGGTCCGCTCTCGTCAGAAGTACTCTATGCAATTTGCCAATCCTCTCCTTAATTTGTATTCAAATAGAGGTGCTATTTCCTTTGGAGGCTCTAGCAAGCTGAGGAATACTACCCTGTGGCTTGGGATGTGTTAAAAGACTATTTTTTTTGGAGAGTCTTCTATCCTACCATTTGGACTATGGTGCTTGTGACTGCCTGAGGCCATATACAAAGAACGGGTTGTCCTTAGCGAGCTACTTCTACAGTAACTTCCTTTCTCAAAATGGCATCATCATGAGATCTCCGTCAAAGTATATTTTGAAGAAAAAAGCTTCCTCTCATGCTTCTGTCTTTAATTGGGAAGCTACTTGCAGTAAAATCCTCACAATGGATAACTTAAGGAAGCATGGCATAGTCATTTTCTGTGGGTGCTCAATGTACATGCATAAATGTGAATCCCCAAACCATCTCCTTTGGTGTGTAGAGACTAGAAGGTTATAAGATTCATGTCTATCCTTCCCAAATTAGTCATGGCATGTCAGTAATTCGATTTTGGTCATCAATGAATCGTGGGCTTGGGATGGCACAGTGACGAGCAAGTCTAGAGTTATCTTCCTCATTACATTGGCTACCGCTTGGTTATCTGGAAAGAAAGGAACGGGAAGGTTTCATATAGCATTGTCTCCTTCTCCTAGCAATGGAAACCAATGATTCGACACCTAAAATATTTCGTTCAATGGTCATCCTCTTAGCACTGAACAGCATTTAGAAACCTTCTAGATATCTTGCTTTCTAGTAGCAATATGTAAAGCTTTTTTTTTTTTTTTTTTTTCCGTTGTATTTGGGCCTTGTTTATATAATTACCGTTTTCCTCTAAAAGAAGTACAAGAATCAGCATTGTAAACTACCAAATTACTAACCTAAGACCCATCACCTAGTTCCAGAAACAGCATTAAAGAACATAGAAAATGCCACAATCAAAAGAAAGCAAACAAATAAAGGGAAAACACGATCAATAATCTCATTTTACATTGTCACTTATAGCTTTCAAGTTTTCAACTGTGATCTTCATGCTCTTAGAATTCTATATTAACAGGCAATGAAAGAAAACCACAGATATCAGAAGACATATATATACACTAGTAAGCGATATAGTTCATCAAACCATTACAATTAAAACACAGCCAGCAGCCTATAACATTAAACACATATTAAATTCTAATAAGAGCTTAAAAACGTTAATTACCCTCAATAATTACGGCGATAATCACCGCCATAAGTGTAACTCTCCTTTGTTACGGTCTCGCTTTCAGCCTTATCTGTAGCTTTCTCGTCTTCCAAACTCAATCCTCCCATCCCCTTCTGCAACTGCCTCTGATCGTACGGTGAATAATCAACGGGTGCCGACGGCCCACTTGGCATGCCATAATTGGAGGCTCGAGGAGGCGGCGGCTTGTGATCATCCGATGAAGATAAATCAACAGGAGCGGAGGGGCCACCTGGCAGGCCGTAATTGGGCGGTCTAGGGTAGAATGGCCGTGGCGGAGCGTAATAGTAGCTCGAGTAGTACTGATCAGAGTAGGCGTACGGGGAGGGCGCGTATTCCCGGTAAGGGCGTACTGGAGAAGCTGCCACAGGAGGGGGAGGAGGGGCAGAGGAGTAATAATAGCTACTTTGAGGGGCATTATAGTCATCATGATATTGAGGTGACGATGATGGCGGTGGTGGTGGAGGGGGAGATGGCCGCTCCCTGAGCACGAGCTTTACACGGATTTTACCCTGCGGTCGACCCGAGGGACGGATCAGCTCGAGCGCGGGGAGCAAGATGGGTGACTCGTCCGAGTCAACAAGGTGAGCAAGCGAGATTTGAGCAGAGCCGACGAGAGGCTTGAGAGTTTCGGAGGGCCTAGAGTGAAAGATCTCGAGGGTAAGGACCGAGTCGCGGATCGGGCGAGTAACGGGGAGGGTGAGACGCTGGTTCCAGACGGGACGGGTGGAGCCTGAATCGTCCGAGTGGGTAGCGACTCGGTGGTCCGAGTCGAGGTACAAAACGACGTAGGGTTTGAGATCGCCGTTTCGCCAGTTGACGTTCTTTAGGTGTTTCGCGGATACTACGGTGACGTCTAAGTCGAGGGGGTTTGAAGAGGCTGCCATGATGCGGTGCGTTTTGGGCGGTTGAGATAGAGAGACGGTGGTTGTTACTAAAATGAGCCGGGAGTGCGAAGGATTACGAAAGAGAGAGCGTGAAGGCAGAAAATTAAATAGACAGATACACGGCGAAGAAGGGATAATGTCGCTTTCACGGGAAGTAAAACAGCTGGTAATTTCACCAGCTGCGCGGATTTTCTATTTATTTATTTTTTTCACTTCTCTAATATGAAAATTTTCGAAAATAAAAATTAAACTTTCTAAATTTACATAAATTAATAATTTAATTAAAGTTTATAAATATGCTGATTGCGGATGATTTAAAACTTAAAACTTGATTAACATATGATTAATACTTTAATTTAATTATTAACATTCTTTTGCTGTGCTGTGTGTAATGAAAAATAATTTATAAAATTTACCTCTTTAATGATTAATTAATTGATGA